TTATTTCTGTCTAATATGATGCTAATTTTGGGCTTAGTTTGTTTTTCCCCCCTGCCTAGTTCCCTGAAGCATAAAGTTAGGTTATTTGGAGATCATTCTTTTTTTTAATGGACATCTAGTTTTTCCAGCTTCTTTCATTGAGAAGACTGTCCTTTTATTGTATATTCTTGGCTCTTGTTAAAAATCAGTTGACTATATATGTGGCTTTATTCCTGGGCTGTTTCTTCTGTTTCATTGTCTATGTGTACATTTGTCACTATAAACTTCTCTCTTACTACCGTTTTGCTGCATCCCATAGGTTTTGGTATGTTGTGATTTTTTTTTGTTGTTTGTTTGTTTGTCTTTTTTGCTTGTTTTCTCAAGAGAAAGATTCATGTGTACTTGAGAAGAAAATGTGTCCGCTGCCATTGGGTGCAATGCACTATAAATATGTTTCTGTTAGATTTCTTTGGTCTAAAATAATAGTCCACGTGTGCTGTTTTCTTACTGGATGTTTTTATTGAAAGTGGGGCCCTGACTATTTTTATATTGTCATCTACTTTTCCCTTCAGTTCCGACAGTGGTTTTCTTATACATTTAAGTGTGCAAATGTTGGGTTTCTATGTATTTATAATTGTAATATTAAAATAGGAAACTGACAATTTTATCATTATATAATAGCCAATAACCTTCTTTGTCTCTTGTGATAGTTTCTGACTAAGGGTCTATTTTTTTTTCTGATATAATCACTCCTGCTCATTTTTAGATGATTTGAATGAAACATCTTTTTCCATCCCTTCACTTTCTTCCTGTATTGGGCCATAAATCTAAAGTGAGTTTCTTGTAGACAGTATATGGTTGGATCTTGTTTTCTTTTTCTTTTTTTAAATCATTCACCTATTCCACATGATTGTTTACTTTTAAATGTTTACTTATTTACATTTAAAGTCATTATTTACAGGGAAGAACTGAACTTAAAGTAGAACAGTCTATTTGAAGCTGATAACTTCGATTGCATACAATAACTCTATGTTTTTACTTGTTACCCCAGCACACTTTGTTATTAATGTCTCTGTTTACATTTAATTATGCTTCGTATTCATTAACATACTTTTAAATTATAGTTATTTTAATACTTTTATCTTTGCCTTTTATACTAGAATTAAAAGTGACTTGGCCAGGTGCAGTAAGGTCAGGAGTTCAAGACCTGAGGTCAGGAGTTTAAGATCAGCCTGGCCAATGTGGTGAAACCCCAGCTCTACTAAAAATACAAATAATTAGCTGGGTTGGTGGCTGGCACCTGTAATCCCAGCTACTTGGGAGGCTGAGGCAGAAGACTTACTTGCACTTGGGAGGTAGAGGTTATAGCAAGCAGAAATCACGCCACTGTACTCCAGCCTGGGCAATGAGAGTGAAACTCCATCTTGGAAAAAAAAGTGACTTATTTACTACTGTTACAGTAATATAGCATTCTGTATATGTTTATACATTTCTTTTACCGATGTGTCTTATACATTCTTGTGCTATTGTGCTTCTGCTTAATGATTGTTCCATGTTGAAGAACTCCCTAGCATTTTTTATAAAGTGGGTTTAGTGGTGATGTGCTTCCTCAGCTGTTGTTTGGGGAAGTCTTTATCTCTTTCATTTTTAAAGGACAGTTTCGCCAGTTATATTAATTTTGATTTGCAGTTTTTTTTTCAAGCATTTTAGATACGTCATCCCACTGTCTTATGGACTGCAAGATTTCTGTTGAAAAGTTTGTTGATATTCTTTTGGGGGTTTTCGTGCATGTAAAAGGAGCTTTTCTATTGCTTTCTTCAAAATTCTTTGTGTTTGACTTTTGGCAATTCAATTATAACATGTTTTGGTGTGGCTTTCTTTAGATTTATCTCATTTTGGATACTTTGGGCTTCATAAATCTGGATCAGTTTCTTTCTCAAGATTTGGGATGTCTTTAGTCATTATTTCATTTGAATAAGCTTTCTGAATCTTTCTCTCTTTTCTCTTTCTGAAACTCCTGTACTTCTTACGGTCCAGTTGATGTCCTTTAAGTCCCTGAAGTTCTCTTTACTTTATAAAATTCTTTTTTCTTATACTCCTCTGACTAGATAATTTTAAATGACCTGTCTTTTAGTTTGCTGATTCTTTCTTTTGCTTGCTCTAATCTGAAGCTTGCTGTAATGTCAATTAGCTTCTTGATTTCTCACACTGGGAATTGATCCATTTATTGCTTTTAAACTAGTGTGTCTATGGGGAAAAGGAACATTTAGAGCTCCCTATTCTGCAATTTTGCTAATATCTTGGCTTGCTTTTTAAAATTGCATTTACTACATAGGCATGATTTCCTGAGTAATAGTCTGATTATACTTTTGACCTGTGTATAAATGGAATCACACTACATATATATTCTTATGTGTCTAGCTTTCTTCCCTCAACATAACTTTTGAGATTCACCTACATTGATGAATGTAGGTGTAGTGTATTTGCTTTTACTGCTGTGTCATATACTAAATGTAGATTGTGTAAATGTAACATAATTTTTTTTTTTGCATCCTACTCTTGCACAGTTGTATTTTCAGTTTTTTGGTATTGCAAATAAAACTCTTATGAACGTATTTAGATATATCTATTGATGGACACATGTAACAGCTTCCCTAAGATTCATATGCAAATAAAGTTGCAGGGTCATGAGGCATGCATATATTCAACATTAAAAGATAATGCCTAAATATTTTACAAATTATATTAATCTAAACAAAAACTAGTAATGTCTCCAAATTTCTTTTGTTTTACATCTTAGCTAATACATTTACAATTTTATCAATGTCATTAGAATAAAATAATGTACTATTGTGGTTTTACTTTGCTTTTCTGTGATTAATAAAGAGTGTGAATTTCTTTTACATGTTTAATGGTCACTTGTGCTTCCTTTTCTCTGCTATGCCTGTTAATATATTTTCACCATTTTAATATAGGGTAATTTGTCTTATTATTAGTAATTTATAGGCATTCTGTATATATTCTGGATACTAAACTTTTAACAATTACAGATGTTGCAAATATCCTCTTACAATGTGTGGTTTGTCTTTTGCTTCCTTTATGGTGTATGAGAGATGAGATAGATAGATAGAGAGAGAGAGAGAGAGAGAGAGAGAGAGAGAGAGAGTATGTGTGTGTGTCTGCCTGTTATCAGCTTTTTGAAATGAAATTCTTACTTTAAATGCAGTTTGATTCACTCACCTTTTCTTTACAGTTTGCATTTTTTGAGTCTTTTAAATAAAATTCTACCTTACACTGAAGCCATAGGATATTCCCTGATATTTTTTCCTAAAAGTTGTACCTTTTATGTTTAAGTCTTGATCCACCTGGAATTGATTTCTGTGAATGGTAAAGTAGGTATTTGAATCAGTTTTTTCCCCAAATGAGTTATAATCATTTCAGCTTTGTTTTTCAGTCCATTCTTTCCTCTTTAGCTGTAGTGGGTAGCATTGTTTTATATCAGGTATTAACATATATATGGCCTATTTCTGGACTCTATTCAGTTTCATTAGTTTGTATCTTGTGTCAGTATTATGGTAACAATTACTATGGGTTTATACTAAATAAATACCGAGGAGGACAAATACTTCAATTTTTCCTTTCCTTTAGGAGTGTTTTAGATAGTGTTGGATTATTGATCTTCAATATAAATTTCACAATCACATTGGCAAATTTCAAAAAATACACTGGTAGACTTTTATTGCAATTGCATTGAATCTGCAAAATATTTTGGAAATATTAATTTTTATAATATTGCTTATTTTTGTCCACAAACATGGTTATACATTTATGTGTTTAATGTTTTAAAACTGTTTTTTTCTTTTGCCTCAAAAAGGACATTTATTTAAAGAAAAATAAAATGACGAGATGTCCATTCCTTGGCTCCCTTCCCTCCCCGCTCCTGCTGCTCCTCAGTCTCCCAAGATTGAACCCTGCCTGAGAGGAGTGGAATTTGGACACACACTTGTATGAAACCCTGATGGCCACCCAGGAAGTCATCTTCATCAACACCTGAAGGAAGGCGGACTGGCTCACTGAGAAGATGCATGCTCAAGATTTCACTGTCTCTGCCGTGCATGGAAATATGAACCAAAAGGAATGAGATGTGATTAGAGGGAGTGAGGTAGCTGGACAGCCCCTCAGATGAGGTCAGCGACATTGAGGAGTATTTCCTCAATGGAGGTGTTGTAGAAGGTCTCAGTGTCTTGAAGAGTCCTCCTGTCTTCTTCTGTCACCATGTCCATCCATTGGCTCCCTTCCCTTCCCCCTCCTGCTGATCCTCAGCCCCCAAGATTGAGCCCTGGTTGAGAGGAAGTCACCATGTTAATAGCCACATCCTTACAGCCAAACCATCTACTTTGATTCTGTGGTTATGGTTTTCCCTGTTGGTGGGAAGGTCACAGTTGATGACTAAAGAGAGCTGCTATACATCAGTGTCTCTGACAGCAGGTCAGTGGTAATAAATACTCTGCTAGAACCAGAACAAAACTTTTTCTGATCACATTTCAATCCTTTTGGTCCACATCTCCATGCATGGCAGAGACAGTGAAATCTTGAGCCAGTCTCAGTGAGCCAGTCCGCTTTCCTTCTTGTGTTGATGAAGATGACTGCCTGGGTAGAGGTCAGGGTTTCATACAAGTTACACAGTGTGTCCAGCTTCCACTCCTCTCATTCCATGTTGATGCAGAATTGGCAGATTCGACTCTTCTTGACAAGAATCCAAATCGAGTCCCTCATGAACTTCTTGGTCACCTCAGGCATATTAGAAGGCATTGTAGCTGACAGCAAAACTACCTGGGTGTTGCTGTTGAGCTTTGGGAATATGTCATTGATCTGGTCCTTGAATCCATGACTTAACATTTTGTCAGCTATGTCCAGTACAAACATCTTGATGTATTTGGGAGACAGGTATTTCCTGTTAAGCATATCAAACACATGGCCAGGGTATCCACAATGATACAGGGAGCTTTCATCTGCTGTTTCTACACCTGAGCATGTACGTTGGTGCCCTCAACACAGGCGTGACAGGAGGCACCTATGTAGTATCCTAGTGCTATGACCACCTTCTGTATCTGCTGAGCTGATTCTTGAGTGGGTGCTAGGACCAAGGCCTGGTTAGCCTTTAGATCTAATTCAGACTGCTGCAGAATCAATATAGCAAATGAGGCCGTTTTCCCAGTCCCATATTGGGCTTCAGCGATCACGTCATAACCTTTGACACAAGGTAGAATGGCTATAGCAGAGGGCTTCTCAAAACCATAAGCATAGATGCCATGAAGGAGGGAATTTGGGAGGTTCATGTCATCAAAGCTGTAAATAATCTCATTCTGGTTACTCTCCATGATGCCTTCGGGCTCCGTCCCATCAGGGCCACTGTCTCTGGAATCCTGACTTCCAAAGATGTAAATAATCTCATTCTGGTTACTCTCCATGATGCCTTCAGGCTCCGTCCCATCAGGGCCACTGTCTCTGGAATCCTGACTTGCAGACATGATCCTTAGAAACTCTAAGCTATTTTTGTAATTGTCTAAATTAAGATCTTCTACAACCCTGTGAGATTTGTTAATAGGCATCTTACTTCTTATTGCTATTTCAAATAGCATTGTTTTAGAAGTAGAGTTTTCACCTGGGCATGGTGGCTTATGCCTGTAATCCCAGCACTTTGGGAGGCCAAGGTGGGTCGATCATGAGGTTAGGAGTTTGAGGCCAGCCTGACCAGTGTGGTGAAACCCCATCTCTACTAAAAAAATACAAAAATTAGCTGGGCATGGTGACTCATGCCTGTAATGCCAAGCTACTTGGGAGGCTGAGACAAGAGAATCACTTGAACCTGGGAGGTGGAGGTTGCAGTGAGCCAAGATGGAGTTTTCAAACTGTTACTGGCTTATTGAAATGCAATAGAATTTTTTTTTTTTTTTTTTTTTTTTGAGATGGAGGCTTGAGTGCAGTGGCACAATCTTAGCTCACTGCAAACTGTGCCTCCCGTGTCCAAGTGCTTCTCCTGCCTCAGCCTCCTGAATAGTTGGGATTACAGGCACACACTACCATACCCAGCTAATTTTTGTATTTTTAGTAGAGGCAGGGTCTCACCATGTTGGCCAGGATAGTCTCGATCTCCTGACTTCGTGATTTGTCTGCCTCGGCCTCCGAAAGTGCTGGGATTACAGGCGTGACTCACTGCACTGGGCAGAATTTTATATATAAATTTTGTGTTTAGCAACTCTGCTAAATTATATTAGTATAATATATTAGTAGGGTAGGAGGGTACCCTAAAAAAGGGTAGGAAGGCATAAGGTAGTGTTACGTGCACAAGTTCTGGAGTTGGACTGTCTGGGTCAATCCTCTGCTACTAACTTGTTATATAATCTTGGACAAGCTGTATAGCTTGAGTTTTCTCATCTGCAAAAATGGATAACAGTAAACATACCTTCCAAGATATATGGATTCAATAAGTCCTGTAAGGTGCTCAGAACAGTGCCTGATAGAGGGTCATATCTAATAAATGTTATCTATTATTAGGACCTCCAGTATGATGTTGAAATGGCATGTAGTGGGTTTTATTTATATTTAATACAGTTTGAAAATATTTGGCCTTTTAACTGTATAGTTTCTTTCCATTAAAAAAAGTCTTCATGAGGTGAGGAAGCTACATACTGCATTTCTCTTCCTTTAGTGGTTTCACTGAAAATTTTAAAGTACTTTTTAAACTTAGTAATGTTTAAAATTAACATCTTTTATCCTAAAAAGCATTAATGTTAACAACTCCCTACTTTTAAGCCATTGAAGTATTTTAGTTTTATATTTATTTTCAAAAATCCAAAAAAATCAGATATCATTATTTTGATTAATATATTCTCTAGTTGATGTTCGTTTACATTTGCCTCATGTTTCTTATTTTGGCTCACAGTTATTATTTCTTATCTTGGCTCACAGTTTCTTTTTCCATCTTAGACCTTCCTTCAGAGATAATTTTTCTTCTTAGTAGTATTCCTCTTTTGGAAATTTCTTTGGAGTTTCTGTTGGCATCAACATTCTCAATTTTTTTCTCAGCTGACTCTTTTGAAAAATAGTTTTCTTACATTAAAAATTATTTTTAATTATGGATCTATAAGAGATATAGATCCTTTCCTGAAAGTGTTCTTATTTTTATAATTATTTGTTATTTTCAACTAGCATTAAAATATATAATTCCACTCTCCTCCGGCTTCCATTGTTATTGTTGAAATTTTAAAGATAGTCTTGTTGTCTCTGATGTTCTGCAGTTACAATATAATGGAGATTTATTTTCACTTATTTTGCTTATATTTCTGAATCCGAGGATTCATCTTAACAATGATGAGAAATTTCCAGTCATTTTCTCTCAATATTGCCACTATCCACTTCCTTTTATTTTTTTCCATCTGAAATTTTATATTTTCTACTTCTTTGGTTGTCTATATTAAGTTCTGGGTAATTGTTTTTCAGATCTATGTTTCAGTTTATTGAATAGTTTCTAGGCTGCATCTCCTCTATTATTTAATTTGTAGCAATTTTTTCATTTTAATTTTAGATTTTCACTTCTAGAGGTAAAAATTTGTGTTCTTTCAAAAGTCTGGACATTTCTGTAGTGTCTTGTTCTGCTGTCACAATACCTCTAGTTTTTTAAATGTGTTGAATTTATTTTCACAGGCTTATTGAATTTATCTGAACAAGTTTTGATGAGTGTGATTCTGTAGCTGGTTGTTTTGGTTGACTTCTGTCCATGTTTCCTTGGTCCTTAGGTATTTTATTAGTTTTTATTGTGAATTCATGTTCCATGGAATCTTTTCTCTAGGAAATTTTTGAAGTGTGGGTTTAATGTGCCTTTCCTTCTGTGGGATTGTGTTTGCTTCTGCCAGATGCTAGGTGATGCTACTAACTTGAGTTCATTTTCAAATAAATTTTCAACTACACAGAAATATAGCTTCTGGTTCTAAATGCCTGTGAATGCAGGCTCTACTCAGAGCCTAACTTGACTGACTAGGTAGGCAGATGTAAGCAAGAATCTTCCCCATCTCACATTGTTCAACAGGGCTTTTCTTTAGATTGCTTACTGATGATGTCACTTTACAAACTCCCCAGCTTCATTCAATTGTCTCTGATCTAAAATTTTGTACTCTCTAAGCTCCAGACTTTGTCTCTTGTCCTCCCTAGTCATGAGACCCATTAAACTCAGAATTAAGACCACCAGAGATTGGTATATACCCTTAGAGTGATGCCGCTCCAAAGCTTGCCTAGTTCTCTGGAAACACACATCCCTACTCCTGGAAATGCCATCTTTCTGATCTCCATATTTTAAATATTACATCATTTCACAGATTTTTTTTGTTTTTTGAGATGGAGTATTTTTCTGTTATCCAGGCTAGAGTGCAGTGGCATGATCTCGGCTCACTGCAACTTCTGCCTCGTGGGTTCAAGTGATTCTCCTGCCTCAGCCTCCTGAGTAGCTGGAATTACAGGTGCCTGGATAATTTTTGTTTTTTTTTAGTAGAGATGGGGTTTTACCATGTTGGCCAGGCTGGTCTCGAACTCCTGACCTTGTGATCCACCTGCTGCAGCCTCCCAAAGTGCTGGGATTACAGGTGTGAGCCACTCGTAAAATGCACCTAGTCACTTTTTTTTTTAATGGAGTCTCACTCTGTTTCCCATGCTGGAGTGCCATTGTGCCATCTTGGCTCACTGCAATTTCTGCCTCCTGGGTTCAAGTGATTCTCCTGTCTCAGCCTCCAGAGCTGGATTTACAGGGCATGTGCCCCCTCTACCAGCTAATTTTTGCATTTTTAGTAAAGATGGGGTTTCACCATTGTGGCTAGGCTTGTCTTGAACTCCTGACCTCAGGTGATCTGCCTGCCTCGGCCTCCCAAGGATTATAGGCATGCTGGGATTATAGGCATGAGCCACTATGCTTGGCTGAAGTATTATTTTAAAAATAAAATAGTAGTAGTTAATATTTGTTTTATTCTTCTAAGCATCAGGACTGTGTTACATGTTTTACATGAATTATCTAATTTAATGTGCAGAAGAACCCATTCTGGTATGTAAAATCTCATTTAGCAATGAGAAGACCGAGATCTTGGGAGGTTAATAACTTGTATGAGGTCCAGCTCATGCTGCTGGACTGTTCCGGAATCAGATGGAAACCCAGAGTGATCCATGGAAGCTTTTGTGCATTTCTTCCACTTTTTATAAAAAAATATTTCAAACATACAGAAAAATTGAATAAAACAACAAACTTATATTTGTTGCATTCAACTGGTATAAATTTTCTTTGCTTTCTCTTCCTGTGTATAAATACATATTTTTTTCTATACTATTTTGAAGGTAAGTTTTTAGATATGCTAGCACTTTACCCTCAATACTGAGACTTCATTTATAAAGTGAGCTTATAACTGTCTTCAAAGAGGTCGCTTTGAATTTTTTTTATTGCTTTCCTGAAAATGGGGAACATTCTTTACTTGAAGATGGGACTCTTATCTTTGAAATCTGAGCTTTAGCAAAATGTCTGGTACATGCCAAGTGCATCAATGAAAAATTTATTAAAAAGAAGACCTAGGTCAATAAGAGAGGAACTAAAAGTTATCCAAGAAAAGAAACTTCCAACTTAGATGGCAAGAAAAAGGGATATGTTGAAAAGGCTAGTTGTAGTTCCCAGAACATTATGGTGGAACATTTTACACTGACAAGAAACAAAGAGAAAACATTCAGGTAAATCCATGTGTACAAACATTTATCCCATTGTCATGCAATATATATATTTTTTCTCTAGCTAGGTGATGACCCTTTCTACCTGGGCTTGGGATTGTGTCTTCTCTCGGTGTATCTAGCCAATTATGTGGTTCCTGATGCAATGGAATGAATGAATCAATGAATCCATTCTGATATACTGTTTATAGTAAAAAGTAATTTCCACTTATTACTACTGTTCCTTCTCCCAAAGCCAATTCTACAGATATAATTACTGTTACTGAAGCTGTTACTATCACGGAGATCTTTATAAGGAAAGTAGAGCCAAGGGAGGGAATATTATTGCCATCTTATAGTTGAGGAAGATTTGAAGGGAATTAGTCTAAACTTGAATGTAGGTATTCTGTCTGCAAGTCCTCTATGCCTTTCCTTTTGATCTAGTGTTTTTTGAGCTTTCACTCTGTGCCAGGCACTGTTCTGCAGGTAAAGTAGCCAAGAAATTAACAGCAGAAACAGCATGTTTGCAGAACTGCTGACTCCTCCAATACCTGACCTTCTGAAAAGAACATGACTGGTATTAGCTGCTTTTTAAGCTCAATCTATTATAGATAATTATGCACATGTTAACTGAATATTAAAA